AGATAGCGAGTACAATGTATAATAATGGAGTGTTACTATTTAAATTTTTTAAGTACATGTAATTACAAAAGTTCTAAATTTTTCTTTTCTTCTGAAAAAAAAGTTATATTGATTATCTATTTCTCTGAACCACGCAGCAATTACCACGGTCAGTCCGACCGCGATTTTGCCCTAAAGGAATTTTCTTGTTTCATTTGAAAAAATACATCCTTATAGGCGGAAATCGCTAGGAATTTTTGCACGTAGATAGTAGAAAACACTGTTTTAGTGAAACTATTTAACAATAATTAAGAGAAAAAGATCTTAAGAGAAAAAACAAAAAGTTTACTAAGATGTCGAGTTTCTTAGTCAAGAACTTTAATGGCTCGAGAGGTTTTTATTTAGTACATAAAGCAGTTTGTATTGGAATCTTTAATTGTGGTGACCCTTCAGTTAAGAATATCTTATTCTTTCTGTAAGAAGTGTTTGTAACTGTGGAGTCTGCGGATAAATTCTGAAGTAGGACTATTCTAGTAAACTTGAATCAAAAGAGGAGTAATCTTGAAGTTAAACAACAGTAAATTGGTTAAGCTTTTTAATTATTATTGATAATCAGCTTTGTTTAATAGTGCAAGACGGTTACATCGCGTGAGTCAGTTATAGATCGATTGCATCGAAAACGATAAATTTAATTAACCGTCTACGAGTATTTAATGCACATGTACATTCTGCTATCCTAACGAGCAGACCGACTGTTCGTGTGTATGAAGCAGTTTATGTCGTTCTCGAATTGCTGGGATCTATTATACCAAAGTGTTCGACAGGTTCCTCCTTTGTTTTTGGAAAATTGCTATGGATAAGTTTACATATACTTTATCATGTATAAAAAATATCTATAATTTTACATTAGTATATGTAAAATAACACCAAATAAATTTCGATATCAGAAAACTGCTTTGAATAACGTTTATACAGTCAACACTCTCAAGCCTTCGGAAATTCGATGAAGCGCCCGTAACTAGAGTTTTTCCTTAACCGTGCAACATGCTCTCTTCATATTGTTTTTTTCGGGCTAAGAAAGGAGTTGCTAAACTGCTTTTACATTGTGAAGAGATCATTGCATTCATTTCATAGCACAAAACTCACTCGTAAAGTCTTGTTGAAATGTTTATTCAGGGTCAGTTTTACCTTCCTTCTTCTTGAATACATCATTACGGTAAAAGTCATATTACGGTAAAAGTGTTGAATAATCGAGTGTGTATTTTTTACTAATCCGTTTTTGACACTTTTGAATAATTCTATTCTATAGTGGCCGCTTTCGGGAGCTTAGAAATAAAAGGAAGACAAGTAAGTAGTTACCAAATTGAGGCTCATTGTCGCGGTCACATTCTGGAGCGCTCACGAAGAGCTTCGATTGAACTTCCTTTTTACGAATAATTCGCCCGAATAGGTTTTAATATGTAAATGTCCTTTTTTTTATTTTCCAAAAAAAAAAAGAAAGAAGGAAAGAAAAAGTGCGTCTTATTATGTCAGAGCAAAGGAGAACCTCGACCTTGGGAAGAGAAACAGTTTATTTTGAATCGTTGCAATCAACAATGGATTTTAAGTTCAGATGAACTCATTAAGAGCATTTATGACATGGTCGAGGGATTTTAGCGCACGTTTAAAGAAGTGAAGCGAGAAGAGTCTTCTGTCAAAGTAACTTTATGAATTCTACTTTGATCATTAGAAAAATGAGGCTGTTATTTCCTCTTCGCTTAAAATTTCTGCTGTGTTTGTTCTTTCCTTTTCGTTTTGCAATAGTTTAGTTCTTCCCTTAAAGTTAAATGAGCCATGGGATGGTCAAATGCCCGTGGCTGTTGTACTTAAGTTTGTCAATAATAACTGGATGTGATGTCAAAACCACTTATAGTGATAATACAACTGAATACGCAATAGAAAATGTAATGATTTAAGATATGACTAACTTCCTGTTTGGTGATATAAATGCCCTCTGCAACAAAGTCAAACCTTCAGTCGAATGACGCTTGCGGACCAGAGAGATCACCTCACTGAGCAGACAGTGTCTCTTTCGCAAACTCGCCATGAAAGCGTGCAGTTTTTTCGCTACATTTTCTCTTGCCATTTTTATGGCGAACGCTCTTACTACTGAAGAACATGTCAGGACTTTGTTCCGCCCGGAACACAGGGTCCATCTGCCGGAGCCAGGGATGTTAAACCTGCAAGAAGACGATTCGTCCGCGCTTGTTTCAAAGCTCAGTACTCAGCAAGGCGACGAATCCACAAAGTGCTTGGCCCTCTGTGAACCAAAGTGCGATAAACTAAATGTGCCATACTATTTGCAGGTAATGTCAGCGTTCTGTTAAAGTGATTTTTTGAGTTTAAAACACAGGCTGAAAGCACGAGTAAACAGCTCTCAAGATTCGACCCATAATTCTTTTAGTCATAAGTTGCCTTCAAGATGAAAAGAACATTTTGCAACTAAAGTACAAAAGAACAGAAAGTTTACGACTGCTCGGATTTGAATGCATCTTTAGTCTGTTTTTAATGTTACCTTCAATGACTTTAATTTCCGTTTCCTTTACAGAAAAACGAAAGCTTCTTCCAATATGAGCAAACTCCTATAAACTGCGTGTTGGCGTCTACAGTTGTTTTCTCCTACAAGCACCGATGCAATTGGCTGTGTTTGTACCTCTTCGATTGCTGCCGAGCCTGTAATGCGAAATATGCTAAATGCTACAAGCAACTCCGCTTTTGGAAAGGCGGCCCAGCATTCTGCTATCGAAAGAGTTACCTCTGTATGTGCACATGTTTGGGCAAGCACCATCCCCCAGAGAATTATAAGAGTTTTCCACCGATCAACAAGGGATAGAGATCGCAAGAGACAGATAAAACCAACAGAACTCCGTAGCTTTTTAAACTAGCCCTTGTCAAAGAGTTCGTCAGCCATCTGCTGTAATTTTGTAGCTTTTTTGCGCAGTCCTGTTTCTGAACTCATAAGAGCTTTCTTGTTGTATGAGATATACGCAAAATAAAAAGTACAAGTTAAACTTAATACTTGTTTGTGGTGTTAATTTGGTTCTGGAGGGTCAAATCTTATCACTTCAACTTCTTTAAAGATTGTTATCTATTTTATTACCCCAAATCCTTAAAAACTATCTCATTTTCTTAGCTGTGTCGTCTATTTTTGTGTACCATCAGAAATTACAAAACCCTATCTTACGCCGATTATATAAAACTCCTATCTCGCAATTTAAAACTCCGATTGACTCAACGTCAAACAATAACTAGAGAGGAAAAACAAAAGCGGTCAAGATAATTTCCTACTCTAGATAAAGTCTTACACAGATCGCAAAAGGTTTAAGTAGTTGTACCAAATTGAACTCACAGTGGCAGTCATGTGACCTTGTTTCGAAGACATTCTTTTCTGCAATATGTATTTTTAGTTTTTCTCAGCGAAGAATTTGTTGAGGTTACTGACAAGGTTTCACAACTTCTTGTAAACTTCACGTTGACTAGCCTTCAAATCCAAAGACTATCAAGTGAAAGATAAAAAATAATATTAATAATTATAATTATTATTATAATAATCAAGCAAACTGAAAAGACGATAAGACTTATTTGAATTCAAGAAAGGAAGCAATTCGTAAGTAAATTCAATATAATTCAAAAGCATGATACTATGCTGATACGATATTGAATTGACTCATTCGCTCTATGGCTCAGAGACAGTTTTATTATAAAATGAGAACGCATTCACGCGTTAGCCAAACCGGAAAATTGTCCTTATCCCTACCTTCCGCTATAGAAATCCTACCAAATGATGGTTAGTTTCGATAACATTTAATTACGGGACGGGACAATATCTGTTTAACGTCTTTGCCAAGAAAGTTGATTCTAACCAAAATAGAGTTCATTAATTATAAATGGCAATGAAAAATCACTAAGTAAACTCAAAGATGAATTATATGTAACCGACTCCCTTGTATATGTTTTAAAGGAAAGTGAACGCCTCATTGATTAAAATGTACGTGATTTTACTGTAGTCCGTTTCGTGGTTTTTACAGTCCGTGAGACATACTTGTCTACCGCAATTAAATATATAGGTAGTCAAAAAGACTCACATAGACATGACTATGCATCTCAATTGTATATACGTTGAAAGGAAAGGGTTTTGATGACCATCCTCCCCGGCGTCAATCCGGCTTGCAGTTGGACAAATTAAGAACAATTATAATAATTAAACCCTTTCACTAATTATAACAAAAACGGTAGAAACTTGCTTGTCTTACGCAAATGACACGACGAAAGAAAAATATCAGCCGGGCGACAGAAACGTATCTTTTTAGATTGTATGTAGTTACACGACTTTTCAACCCCAACTTTTTAGCGTTAAGGTATACGTAATTGTAAAAACAGCATACTATCTTATTGTCTAAAAAAGATGTCTAGCTTGCAATTCATTTAACGGGGAAAGTTATGCAAGAAAATGACTCTTATTTTTCATAGAAGTGAGCTCGTTAATGAACTTAGTTCATTATTCATTAGTTTTCTTAGCATAGTATAAATGCGAAAAAATAAAAAAAATCCATTCAACTGCGTCGAGTTTTGTGGTAGTATGCTCGAGTAATTGCGGGAAGTTAAAGGTTTCTTAGCATTGTAGTTTCAAGTGTACTTTCAAAAAAGGGCTGCTCCGATGAGGGAACCAAGGCCAAACGAAACTAACCTAAACAGGAAAAAATTCCAGCGAACTAAGAAGCAGAAAGAGCTACGTGAGAGTGATCGTAATAACACTTTAACAGCTTAAAACATTTACGTATTATGAATATTAAGAAGTTTAATTAAAGTTCTTAACAAATCATTTGCTAGATGCAAAGAGTGGACCGTTTCGATTTCCGCTCTCTTGATATAAAAGGTTTTTACACACCCAAAACACATTCAGTCAGACCAGCAAGGACAGCAGTTTGAGCTGACGAGGTACGCACAGATTCTCAGTCCCCTCCGTTGGCTTTCCATTGAACATGAAGTCCGGCTATTTGGTTGCCTACTTTGTCGCTGTGGCATTGACTACTATTGCTACCCAAGGAGATGCGCAGAATTCGACAAGTACTCCACCACCCCCTGAGAATTCGACAAATCCAGCTCCAGCCCAACAGAGTCTAGTAAGGCCCGTCCTTCCGCACCCACACGGCTGTGATTGTAGAGGTGAATGCAAGAAACTTCGTCATGGTCAAGTTCCGTACAAACTCGGGGTAAGTAAAAAAAAAAAAAAAAAAAAAAACTACTGGCAAGACGTCAAACTTTGAGATAAACTCTAAATTTCGATTTGTAAAATACTTTAAAATCAATTGAAAGTAATTCCGAACTTCTAACTAAAGACTTTAGTTAAATGGTAACGCCCTAAGAATTCGAACGTCCACGCATTTGTCTCGACATCAAGAAATGTACCTAATATACACAGAATGTTGATAAAATCACATACCAAAGGCCTCGTTTCCATTTTGTCCAGACGCTGAGTCAGTACTACATACCATATTTAAATGAAGAAATCAGAGAGGAAAAAAGAAATTTAACGAAAATGCCTTCACTTTAGCTTTCACAGATCTAGAGAAATGTTAGCAAAATGCGAATTTTACAGTCAAATCGAAGTAACTTTGCAAAGCACGAAATCAATTTATTTTACCAAGGAAAATACCTATATCTTTCTGATAGGCTCATTACCCTGACTAGTGTGCTTTCCTTTGACAATATCGCTCAACATATTTGTATTTTGCTAACTTCAACGGTACACAAATGACCTTGTAAGATACGATTTTATTTAATTAATTGTTTTATTTTATTTTTCAGGACATACACAACTACCTCAGCTACGAAAATTATCCCATTTTATGCCGATCAGCATCGAGTAATTATTACGGTAAACCACCAAAGAAGTATGTCTGCAAACAAACCTTCGATTGCTGTCGTTGGTGCAACGCATTTTTCTACAAATGCTTGAAGGTTTACAACTTCGGCTATTGTATTCGTAGCTCCTATAAATGCATGTGCCGATGTATCGACAATTCCAACAGAAATGAGCTGCCGTATTACAAGGCAGGCAGAAAATAACTTTATAATCAAAGCTCTTACGAACACAATCGACAATCGATGAGTACATGACTCAGTTTAAGCCCTCTTGGTACTTGTAAACAATTGAAATAAGTGATTTTTAGACGGAATAAGTGATTTATAGACGGAAATAGCATCGGCTTTAGCACTAGCTAGTTGAAAAACTAGAAAGACTTCTCTGTATACTAGAAATAAAGCCATTTGTTTGCAAGACGTATTTAGGTTGTTAATAACTTTGCATTTGTCTTAGACACGGTTCCTTCGCTTTAAACATTTTCTTCTAATGCCGGTAACTTTATAAAAACAAGTAGTAACTCAGTAAGTTTGTTCATCCCTTTCCCTACGCGAAATACAAAATTAATTATTTTAAAAATAGAATCCCCCCTTTTACGCCAAAAACTTCTAGGTCCGTAGACACACTCTGATACTGTCTCATTCCATGAGATGATCTTGCTCATTCTTAACTCTCTGTTGATTCTTAGCAAGTCTAATAGCTTGTGAAGCTATGTGTTAATTCGCAGTTGTCTGCCATTCAGCTTTTCTGGGGCCTACTACGCCCTCTGTTACCAGGCCACGAATGCGTCCATGGATGATGGTGTTAGCCAGTCTAAAACACACGCAAATGGACGCAACATTGTTGGCCAACAAAATAATAATAATTCTGCTAGTTACCCTGATAGTGGGGCCGAGAAAATGCCTGAAACAAATACTTCAAATCACACTTAACAAGGTTAAGAATCCCAACTGGCCGGAGACAAACCAGCTGGCTCTTGAACGGCACAAATCCAGCAAATGGTCAGTGCGGGACTTGAACTAGGGGTCTCCGAATTGTAAGTCCAGCCACGCTACCAACATTGTTGGATGTTACAATTTGCTTCCGTTTGCACACCTTGTTGCATCATGATGTTGTTGCGCAAAGTTTGAAACGGGTCGAACGTCAGTAGCTAAGCCTTGAATGACAGTTACAAGTGTTAAACTTAAAGGCGGGAGCGAGGGCCTGGAACTTATAAGTAACTGCTGGTACTAAAGTGACTAAAGCAACCGCTGGTCCTAACTGTATATAGAATATATTAGAATGCATAAACCTACAGAAAGGCCGTTTACGCGATAAAATGTATCTTATACTCCATGTTGAAAGGGTGTTGTTTGTGTTAAAAGATTTGACCAATCATAAGAGTTGCAAACAATAGCCAACAAAAGTTTACAATTTTACATGTTCCTCACATGGGATTTCTGTGTTATTCAGACTGAGACGAGATTTAGTTATATGGAAGTTGCTTGGAAAAGTAAGGATGAACATATATACTGCTTTATTAAGTTTTCTTAACTTTTACTGTTTTAAGCCAATCATAAGTAAAGTACACTGTAATTTTCAGGGAGTTATAATAACTCCTCTAGTGGGGCTAATTTAACTCCTGACAGTGGAGTTATTTTTCGTGGAGTTATTTTAACTCCAAAAAGGAGTTTAAAGGACTCTTTTTCAGGAGTAAAAGTGACCCCAGATATTGAGGAGTTAAAATAACCCCCAAAAAGGAGTTATCCTGTACCTAAAATTTTTACTCCACTTTCAGAGTTAAATTAACTCCAAAAGAGTAAAACAACCCATGTTTTACAAGTAACCCCATTTCGGAGTAATTTGAACTCCAGACTGGGAGTAAAAAGAACTCTTTTTCAGGAGTAAAAATGACCCCAAATTCGGAGTTAAATTAGGAGTTAAAATAACCCCAAAAACGGGTTATCCTGTACCTAAAATTTTTACTCCATTTTTGGAGTTATAATAACTCCCTAAAAATTACGGTGTACAGACAATAGTAAAGTTAGAACCTTTTTGCATTCCAACATGTTCATATATAGCCGTTGTTGCTTTCCTTCTTATTTTAATTTCTTGTGTGAAAATTGTTGAATTTATTGTTCTATCAGCAGTTTCATACCGTGCTGCTGGTTTTAAACCCGAGGGGGGGGGGTTGCTGTTTTATGTTTGCCGTGTTAGCATTCAAGATCAAAGCTTCAATAATTTTAAAAAGGACAAAATGAAACTGTCAGTTAACAAACCAAACTCGTCCGGTTTGTTAACTGGGAACTGTGCTACTATTCAACTGTTTTTGATTTCAGAATTTGCCTTCGGACTCGAAAAGTTACCGGACCTTTCGAGAAACGGGCCCCAGGTTCCTGAAAGGCCGATTAGCACTAATGCAGAATCAAAATTTGTTGTCTTTTGTATTTTGCCATCCTATGTATTGCTAAAAGTAATTATTGTGTTATCATTACTGTATCTCGGAGTAAAAGTTAAACAGTATTTTGTATGCTCGAGATGCATATTTTAAAACAAGAAAACCTTGCTTAAAATTTGGCTTAATCCTGGGTTAAGCCCCTGGGGGGAGGGGGGAACTCCCTTGCATGGCCCATAAGGATGTACCGATGGACAGGGTATGGTTTTCGTCCTCTTTGTCCTTAAACAGGGTATCTAATTTGGCACGAGTCTGTCCTAAACTAGCCTTCCACGCAGACGTTCTTAGGGGTTCGTCTCGCGTCTGCGTGGGAGGCTAGTCCTAAACAGGATATGCAATCTCGCGCTAGTCTGCCCTAAACAGTGTGCATGATTTGTGCGAGTCTGTTCTAATTATAAACAGGGTGTTTCATGCACAGGGCAATAAAATTGAGGGTGCTGTCCAAATAAACAGGGTTCTAAAATTGAGGGTGTTGTCTTAAACAGGGTATGTATCTTAGGGTTTTTGTCCTAAACAGGTTCGGGTTTCAAAACTCAGCGACTCACCTATACTCTAGTTTAGAATTCACTGTTTGCCCAGTACTCGGTGAAAATCAACATGTGTATTCCTCAAGGCTGGTTTTCACTAGAGACGGAGTCGGAGTGAGAATCGGAACGCTGTTTTCACTAGATCATAATCTCTACGCTTCTGATTACGATTCCGACAATCTGGTTTTCACTAGATCATAAGCGGAACGCTTCTGATTAAGACTCCGACTCCTACTCTGTCGCTAGTGAAAACCAGCCTTGAGCATTTTACAATTGATCGATCTTGACCTGTTCGTGATCACGTTCTTATGAGAGATTTTCTTCTTTTTGTATGTAAAACCTCATACGAATCTGTTACGTAAGGTACAAGCTCCGAGATAGTCCGCTGAATTGAGAAAGCGCAAACACGATAATAAAACGGGAGAAATCTGGGGAGAGTAGAGGCAGCGGAGAATCTCTCTCCCCTCCTTCTTCCTTTTTCCCGCCCCGCCAACTTTTCGCGTGGCTTTTTCTTTCGCGTCTTTCCCACTATCTGAGTACCTGGAACAGGCTACTTCCAAAGCTAGTTCGCGAGCCCGGGGTGGACTATTCGTCGTCTCGCTTAATCAACTAGGGGTGTAAATTGTAGATTTTGGTCTCACTTAGGGTGTTTGGGACCGAAAGTCACTATATCTGTCCATTCAGGTATCGCGTAAGGCTGTGTATAAAGAAATTTACAAAAAATGATGCCGTGACACTGACCACACCGAAATCTCATTTAGCGGCAATTTTAAGCTTGAGCCACACCCACATTGGTCTCCATTATAAAGGGGCAATTTGATTTTAATTTTCCGAGGAGTATCCCCGTTACTTTTGTATGGGAGTCCCCCTCCTGGTTTGCGTGCCCTTTCCTTTCCACAGCACTTATCGACTTAATAAACACTAATGGACAATTAGCTTTACAAAAATTTACTAGCACAGGAAGACTAGTAACTAGTTTACCACAACCATTCGAAAGGCGAGAGAGCTTATTCAGTAGGTTTCAACTGAATCAGAGGAACTGTTAAGAAAGTTCATCCACAGGGCTAGCCGAACTCTAACGTTAAACTGACGAGTAAACCACCTTATAAGTACTGCTAAGTATATATTTCTGATTTGAATGGCCACGCACGGACGCACGGACACGGACGCAAAACGCACGGCACTTTCAAAAAAAAGTAGAAATCAAAAAAAAAATACTACAGGAACATTTCTTTAACGCTTATCTTTAATTTGAATGAACACGCTTATTATAAGGATTTCATCTACTGCCTTAACCATGAAACCATAATGCAATGGATAAAGATTAAAACTACGGTGACTGTTGAGATCACTAACTTTGGTCAAGCTTAAGAACTTTACTCTCTGAAGAATATTACAGAAAGGTTCTTTTGGATTTTTCTAAAAGTTGACTAAAGTTTTTATGAACTTCATTTCTTTGAACCACATTTTTTCCGTAAAGGAATTTTGCATGTTCAATTAAACAAGGTATTAATATTTAAAGGCATGACGTTTTTTAGTTGCATGTGACGCTTGAACATAATAGCGAAACATAAAATATATCTTAATTAAAGTACAGGGCACATTAAAAATTAAATATATGAGACAAGCTATAGAGGTCAAAATTTGTCGTCAGACCTAATACGTTTTGCATTTTTTTTTCGATTTTTTTAAATTAAGTTCTGCTGTCAGTTGTTAAAAGGTGGCTAGCGCTATCTGCTAGATAATTCACTGTCCAGCAAATAAGTATTAGGAAAACCAGTTGCGTTATCCAATGGATAGTGATTTATCGGGTGAATAGGGCACCTCATGAACAACTGGGGCCTGAACTTTATTTTAGGCCATGTTCATTGTAATTACGAAAGTACCGCCTTTAACTTTTCGGAACCCTCTTGTATAACAGTGAACGTTCCATACTTTTTTAATTTTAAATTCTCGACATTATTAAAAATGTGAAATTAAAATTTTCATATAATAGAAAATGTGGGAACATTAAATTCGACGGAATTTCGTACATGTAGGGTCTAAAGTAACACTTAACACACTTGTAACGTACAGCTAAGCAGATTAGGTTGTTACTATTTAAATTTTTAAAGCTATTACAAAAGTTCTAAATCTTTCTTTA